AATCGGAGCTGAGCCAACTGGAGCCATGCTGCAGCTGCCAGCCAGGCTCCATCTGGCAGGATTGCCATTGCTGCAGCCCTGGAAGGCCCCCAGGACCACAGGTAAGCCTCCTCTACTGCCCCCAGGCCTGTGTAGACATATCACACTGAAGACTCATATTGACCTTGTAATCCACCAAGACTCCCAGATCCTTCTCCATAGTTCAGCCATTCAGCCAGGTGTCACTCATTTTGTATTTGTGTTTTTTGCTATTCCTCCTGAGGTGTAACATCTTGCATTAGTCAGCATTGAACTTCATCCTGTTCTGTTCAACATGTTCTGTTCTTACTGAGCTGATGACTGTGTCATCATTCCAGGGACTTTAAGTCAAATCCAAATCATGTTCACTGGGTCCTCTATTTAGGCAGTGCAGAATCTAAAATTAGGTGTCTTAAGTAAAAAGAGCCCCTAAATCCCTGTTAAGCAAGAGCGAGGCAGTTCTATAAGGCTACACTGCCGAGAATCACTAGAGGACTTCAGTCTTCAGGATGCAGGTTGCAGACAAAGGAGCCTGAAGCCTTCAGATTGCTGATGAGGAGCCTCTGTGTCCTGTTAGGAAAGAAAGATAGATGACCAGAAGGGTGTGGACTTCCTGAAGGAAGACTGCAGACTGACTGAGAATGACAGACAGTAAGATAACCTCACAGGCTGGCAGGGGATAGCCAGCCAGTAGCAGAGGAGTTTGCCTGGGGTATGAGGACCCTGAGGGGGGATTCATTATCTTATTTGTATTACATTATGGTTTTGTTTGCTGTTTCTGCAAGACATAGGTTGGCTTTGATGGGGAATAGGGAAGCCACTGTGGCCACCTGGGAAAGGTGTTCCAAGTTTGGTTTCCTAATTTAGGGGAGACTGGGATTGGGACCCCTATGGATTGGGAGCCAGAGAGAAAGGGCCCAGCTGAAGACTGCAGACTGAGAGCCAGAGGGAAGGGCCTGGGCTCAAGACTAAGGTCTGAGGACTAGAGAGAGAGGGCTTTGGCTACAGACTGAAAGAGAGTGGAGTGACTGAGGCCAATTAAGATGAAATGCCCAGCAAGAGGGTTAAACATGGGACCAGGCTGAGGTGGCCCAGTGATAAGCAGCATGGAGTTAAGCAGCTAAAGAGTTACCCTAGTGGTCTGAGAGAAGCCTCCTAAATTTATGTTAATTAACACCAGGGCATGCAAGTGAAGACAGGGCAGTGCCAGAGAAGCCAGAGTGCAGAACAGGTTTGTAGTAGCCACTAGACGGCATCACTGTTGCCTTCAGAGGTGAGGGCCCATTACACTTGCCTGAGGACAATCCAAATCAATAAATTAGGCACTTGGGATGCCATATATTCAATTGAGATGGTTAGCCACATCAGAAGGGTGATCCAGTGTGCAAGAATCCAGAATGGAGCCACTTAGACCAAGCCAATAGAAAACGCCAAATGTATGTGTGTGTTTGAGCTCCTACCTCCTCATTCATTTTGCTTCGACACCTAATGCACTCCTGAATTTGTACACCTAATGCAAGCTTGAATAAGTTCCTAGTAGCCCAGCTTCCTCCAGAGAGGTGGAGGGTGCCTACAGGCAAATTATTCTGTAAGTTGATGTTTAGGGGGGGCTGTTCTTGGAAATGAGGTAGAATTTAATATACTCAAGCCAAGAAAGGAGTGGAAACTGGGTCTTCTATTTCCTGGGCAAGAGCTCTAACCACTAAGCTATTGTGCAAAGGTCACTACCAGCTTTGTCCTGTCAATTTCAGTCAAGTGTCAGGCATAATCTGTGGATTTATGTAGAAGTGAATTTCAGTGCCTTAGCCCAGGGGTTTTAAAAGGGCAAAAGATGATTGGAGGACTTGGGATTCCCTTTCCTCACCAGTCAGGCCCCGGAGACTCAACCTCCGTGTTCCCTGATTGGCCCCTTGGGTCACCTGGAGGGGGATAAAAGGGACAACGCGGCTGACTCAGGAGAGACCAGTGAGGGACCACAAGGAAGGAGCTTCAAAGAGCTGGGCCAGTGGGGCGGAAGCAATTGCCCCAGAAGCACCTGAAGGAGTGGGACCTGCAGGCAGCAGTTGGATCCTCAGCAGCTCAGCGTGCAGCCAGCAAGAGAGGCTCCCTACTGGGCTCCAGGATCCCCTATGAGAGGCTGAGGCCAGCACGAGATGCACCCCAACTCCAGCCAGGATCTGAGCAGTGACCTAAGAGGTTCCAGCTCTCTTTCCAGCTCCTCCAATCAGAGGCCAGGCAGCTTGACATGCGGCCAGGGCTCCTGGAAAGTCAAGACCCCTTGCGCCTTGAAACCATACCAGCACTAGTGGTTGTGTGGTAGTGTTTCTATTTACCACATGGGAGCCCTGAGTTCAAATACCAGCTGGGGTGAGTAAAGTCACAGGGAGAAATTCTTGTTGCAGTGGAAAGGGATCATTGTGTTTTCCCTCTTTCCCCCCCCCTTCCAGGTCCCTAGGCCCTCTATTCCTTGTTATTTGACATTTTGTTTTTTGTGCCTCTTATATTTCACCAGCCACTATTGTTTGTTCTGCTGTTTGTGTTTTATATTTTTGTTAACCTTGTCTTTTGTCAATGATCGTAAGCATCTAACCTTTGTTGAATCCTACCCCCTTGCGGCCTTGTAGTGTCCCCTATATCCCCTGGTTTATGGCTATTATGTTCCCAGTACTACTCTCTCCATAAAAGGTATATGGTTAAGGCCCCATTGGTGGTCTGGCTCTGCTCTATAGGGCGAGGAGAGCTTGTGTACCTGCTTTGATCCCTTTAATTGGAGAGGAGTTACCTCTTGGAGTACCGCCCAGGTTACAAGATAGTTGCTTTTTGTTCTGGCCAAAATCACTAGTAACCTTTTGCAGGAGTAAGCACTTAACTGCTGCTTCTGAGCAGAAGTCTAAGTCTAAAAGCCTGGCAAACTTTTCAGTCCAAAATGGAAGTGCTTAATGAGTATAGATACCCAAGAGACTGACTCCTGGAACAGGATCTAGATTGTGTTTTGTGGCTCCAGTTTAAAATTCCATCATCCTGTTTAGTCTCTTATGAGAATCATTTGGATCTGGCTCCAACACAATGTGCCCATTTTTATCTGTTTGTGTGTATCTGCCAAGATGGGCACGTCCACACATGCAGGCACATGCACTTGAAGCAGCTCAAATAGGACCGGCACAAATCTGAGTCAGTAATTTTTGCCTCAGTACGTGCCCGGATATGCACTTTGCTGTGGGGCAAGTTGAGCTACTTGAGGCAAAATAACCCTGCCCAGCTCCTCCCAGATCTGCAGTCAGAGGAAGCTAGAACCTGGGGCCAGTGCCTGTGCCATTCCCAGCAGTATAAAAACATGCCCTGGTGAGCAGCTCATGGCTACTTGCCCTCAGGAGCTTCTGGGGGAAAGTTGCCCATGCCCCTTCCTGCTTTGCTGCTGCTGCTGTTGCAGCACGGCACCCCAGCTTCTGCACTCCTGTTCCAGCCTGCTGCCCAGCCCGCTGCCAAGCAGCAGTCAGGGAACAGCCTGGGGTGGGGGCCTGTGCTGCCTGCAGACCCCTCCCCCACCATTCCTGCCCACACCTAAGGGCACCTTGCATATCACAGCTGCCTCAGCAGGCCACCCCCCCACCTCCACCTTCATTTTCACCTTTAACTGAAACACGCCTTGGGTGGCTGACCTGGACAGCTGCTACCACTGCTGCTGCTTCCCCACCTCAGAAGAGGGGAGAGGGATTCCCTGATGCATCACCTTGCACCACACCTGCACTGGATTACTTCTGTAATTAACTGTTTGCTCCTGCACTCCCTTATAGCTGCCTCACCACATCTGAACCTGTGCCTTGTTTCTTGCCTGCTGCCAAGTGCCTGGCTGGAGGCCTGAGGGGTTCCTGGACTGAGCTTCAACAAACAAAGCCCCTCCACCTCTCTAGCCATCTCTTCCGTCTGCCTCAGCAGCCTCGTGCGTGTGTGCGTTTTTCCCCTTGTGTGGTAAGTCCTGTGGTCCACTCCCCCTGCCCTGGTGTTTGTTGTGTGACTGAGTAAGGCAGCTCAAGTCTCCCCAGCCCTTGTATCTGTGTCCCCTTCCCCCTGACCTTCCCCAAGTATTGCTCACCCAATTTTTCCTGTGCAGCTGTAGCTCAGTAAGCTTCAACCTCCTTCACCCCTGTCTTCCCCCACAGCCCAAACCTGTTCCTATTTGATTCACTAGCCTTGCTGTGATTTTTCTTTTTTGGTTTCCCTCTCCCTTTTATGAGAAGCAATGACAGGGCAGGAGCCTTCGGGGGGTGGGGGGGCAGATGCCCCCACAGAACTTCCTGCAGCCCCTGCTGTGGAGGAAGATTCCAGCTAGGCCCCTGTGGCGGGTGCAGAGAGCCCAGCTCAGGAACACAGCTGGGTATTCGTATCCCTCCGCTGTT